ACATAGGCAAAACATTCTCTATGAAAGTATCCTAGCAACGTTCTCCTAGGGCAGTCTACTGAGGCAATAGAAATAAAAGCAAAAATAAACAAATGGGACCTAATTAAACTTATAAACTTTTGCACAGCAAAGGAAACTATAAACAAAAAGACAACCTATGGAATGGGAGAAAGTATTTGCAAACGACGTGACTGACAAGGGCTTAATTTCCAGAATATACAAATAGCTCATACAACTTAGCAACAAAAATATAAGCAATCCAATCAAAAAATGGGCAGAAGACTTTAACATTTCTCCAATAAAGACATAGAAGTGTCCGATAGGCACATGAAAAAATGCTCAATATTGCTAATTATCAGAGAAATGTAAATCAAAACTATAATGAGGTATACCTCACACCAGTCAGAATGGCCATAATTAAAAAGTCCATGAACAATAAATGTTGGAGAGAGCATGCAGAAAAGGGAACTCTCCTACAATGTTGGTGGGAATGTAGTTTGGTGCAGCCATTATGGAAAATAGTATGGAGATTCTTTAAAAAACTAAAAATAGACTTACCATATGATCCAGCAATCCTAGTCTTTGGACTGTATCTGGAGAAAACTCTAATTCAAAAAGATACATGCACCCCAATGTTCATAGCAGCATTATTTACAATAGCTAAGACATAGAAGCAATCTAAATGTCCATCGACAGATGACTAAAGAAGTTGTGGTACATATACACAATGGAATACTACTCAGCCATAAAAAATAAAAGAATGCTATTTGCAGCAACATGGATGGACCTGAAGAGTGAAGTAAGACAGAAAGAAAAAGAAGAATACCATTTGATATCACTTACATGTAGACTCAAAAAAAATGATACAAATGAACTTATTTACAAAAGTAACAGACTCACAGATATAGAAAAGAAACTTATGGTTAGTAGAAGGAAAAGGGGAGGGGCGGGGTAGAGGGATAAATTGGAAGTTCAGGATTTGCAGATACTAACTACTATATATAAACAACAAGGTCCACTGTATAGCACAGGGAACTATATTCAATATCTTATAATAGCCTATAAAGAAAAAGAATATGAAAAGGAATATATATATATATATAACTGAAACCCTATGCTGTACACCAGAAATTAACACAACATTGCAAACCAACTATCCTTCAATATAAATACACAAATAAATAAATAAAAAGAAAGAACTGGGTTAATAGCAAGGGCTTTGGAAATCAGTGACACTGTCACTCCACTTTAATGGAATCGGCTATAACATGGCCGCTACTGCTGTCTCCTTTCAATCATATTGTGAATGTGTTTAACAACACTAAACATGAATGCCAAAACCACAACACAATATTCTCAAACAAAATTCTTTACCTCATTTCTCGTTCTTCATGTTGAGCGATCAGGTTGCTATAAAAATTCTCCAGTGTCACTTTGGTCATTGTCACCCTTTCCTTTGTGTGATTACTCATGGACGAGTAAGGTGTTGAGCCTGTCATTGCCATGGCTGCTAGAAACGAAGAAAAAAAGAAGTATTAGTTTTGGAGCTAAACTCCATCAATTTATACGCTGTCTTACCCTACTGGTAGGAATATAAATTGGCCCAAGTTTTCTCAGGACAAACAGCTAACATAAAACAAAAGCCAGACAAACTTAATAGCTGGTGAAAATTAAGCATATATTAATGATTTTAGACCCATAAATACCATCCCTAATTATAAGGCCTAGAGAAATGATCACACGGAGTCTTAAGAGGACATGCACAAGGATGTGCATTACAGAGGATGTTCATTATGCCATTATCTGTGTTATGGGAAGTTGGAGGCAATTCATTAAGGAAATAAATTAATTAAATGCTGTGGATGCATACAAAGAAATACCACACAGCAGTCAGAAGCAAATCTACTTGTACCTAAAAGCGACATGAATATATCTTTAAAACATAGTGTTGTATTTTTTAAAAAGAGAACAAGATCACAATACAACATACATAAATTAAGAATATATAATACAGAATAATTCTTCACCATCTAGGAATCTACTTTGAAGAAATCAAAGACCCATAAGAACTGATTAAGTTATAATAAAACATGCAATTAAAATATGTTTGAATGTTTAATGTCAGGGAAAATATTTCCAATCTAAAAGAAAATAGGTTACAAAATAGTACATATACCATGATTTCAATTTTATTTATGTGTTTACTGTATGTGCACAGAATTATTAGAAATACATATTAAAATGTTATTAGTGGCCTAACTCTAGGCAGTGAGAATAGATCATCTTATTCTTGTTTGTGCTTTTCCATATTTTCTTCAAAGAGTATGTACCATTATTAACTTTTCTTAAAATTCCTTCAAAATTTTCTAATTTATTGGCATAAAATTATTTGTAATCACCATTAGCATCTTTCTTGGATTTTCTTACAGTGTACTTTATATACAATATTATATGTTACTGGTGTACAATATAGTGATTCACAATTTTTAAAGCTTATACTCCATTTATAGTTATTATAAAATATTGGCTATATTCCCTGTGTTGTACAAGTTATCAATAACTTGTAAATTTACGATTTCTATAGTTAAAAAAAAATCTGTGACTAAAATCTTCATCTGCGGATATGACTTACAGTGTTTGGTAAGTGTTTGCTGTCTATTTGAATTTACAAGTTAAAACAACGACCTATGATGGAACAATATTACCAAGAAAAAACCTGATCATAATTTGAGTGACTGAAAATGCCTTAAAAGCAAGAGACCCTAACTTCCCAGTTTCACGTATTTGAAAAAGGATATCGACAAGGTTTAAATAGCTTATAGAACCTTTTCCCCCCTAAATTTAAATTGCATTTTCCCTAGTTTTTTTTGTTTTGTTTTGTTTTTTCCTACCAACCTACATTGTCTCACCTGGCCAGGCTGTTCACCAACCTTGACTTGCTCCAGCATTGGCAATAATGCTCAATATTTTATCCTTATCATACCTTCCTCCCACAGGACCTGCCTCTATATCTGTCTTTTCATCTCAATATGAAACTGAGTAAAAATCAGGAGGGATCAAGGGCCATTTTCAAAGACAGTACATTTCATGAAAAGTTTTCTTAAGGCTCTCTCCTTAATACTTAGCAGCTTTTTAAAACTGTTTTGTAGATTAAACTAACGCTGTTAAGGAATATGCAAACACTATTCCTAAGAAAAAAGACTTAAGCAATTTTATAAAAAGATACTCTAGAAAATCACACAAAGAATAATACCTTGAGAGCAAAGAGATTCAAAATCAAGGCTCCATTTCAAACATTTTGATTCGTAATGTGCCAAAATGATCAGTAATCACAAAGTCAGAACATTGAACTCATCTCTACCTTACTATAAAATGTAATTTTTCATGGAGAAGTTTCTGCCAATAACCAAAGCAAACTCAAATGTTTTTAGGATATCAGTAGAATTTTTTTTAAAACCTCAGTCTGGTTTATGAAGCTTGGGTGTGGTTCCTTATTTGTCAGCCTGTACCCCCTCCACCCACAATGAAAACCACATGCACTCTGGTGAAGAAATTTTAAAACCAGATTTAAAAACAAGTCTGAAGCAACAGAGCACTCTGTACTCCTCCCTTGTCTGAAAATTTCTGAAGAGTGCCTCTCCCTCTCTCTCTATATATATGTATATACAAAACAAATGAAACTATTTCCACATAAAAATATCAGTCTTTAAGCCTAAGACAAATAGTGCCTTCCATGTAATAGGCAGTTAATAAACGCCAGCGGAGCAAGTTAATGATTTTCAGTTGTTAACAAAGGTAAAGAACAAAATTACATTTACATTGATCAGTATATAAAGACTAGGGAACAAAAGCTTCGACCCATTTAATTTGCTGGCATGACTTCCTAAACTTTGTAAAAGATCAACAGGAGATTAAGTGCATTCAAAGATGCTCATATAGTACGCCAACAATTTTCTAGCAGAATGGTTTTCAACCTTCGTTAAGTCTCTAATGTAATGGCAAAGGCTGCACTGTCCTTCCGTTTGACCTTTCTTCAAAACCTCCTCTCTCTTCTCTTCCTCTGCTCATAAAAGAGTTAGCCTAATTCTAATAATCTTTCATCAAAAGTAACAATTACTATTACCCTATAGCAATTTATAGGTTTACTGGGTCAACTAAGTACTTTTCACTTTTGACAATTCAAGCCTTCCTACCCTAACCTACAGGCCATTTGGAGACCCTTGCCCTATCTGTTTCATTCTCCAACTCTGCAGAATTAGGAAATAATAGGTAAGAAATTCTTAAAAGTTTTAAAAAGTTAACAAAAGAATATGATCCTCATAAGTCTGGGGTAGGTACTGTAAACATTAAAAGGATATCAAATAAAAACTACTGTTTTATCCAATATAGATAGTTATGCATGGTTGACCGATTGACTTTACAATGGTACTGTTATCTCTATAAATACCCCTTTTCTCACCAACTTATTTCTTTGTGACTGACAATCCAGTATCTTTCACAGACAATTCAACATTGGGGCTAAGGTTATTTCTTAAGAGTCACGTATCTAATTTCTCCTACTGAACTGTAAGCCGCTGGAAAGCAAGCACCCTGTCTTATACTACTATTAGTATGCTTCCCCATACCAAGCACAATGCTATGCACTTAGTAAGTACTTTATAAAAGATTCACTAGGAAAACACTGGTTTCTTAAGTCCATTACTAGGACCAGAGAATATGTATGTATGGGGAAGGTGGGGCCAGGGTTAGGTAGGACATGAAATGGGTTTCTATACAGAATTGCACAGAGTTGTTCCCGTCCTTTTATGAGGAAGCCGGCATCTAATGTTTGGATGGAGAATGGAGCCTGTTACTGAGTTGGTGGTGGTTTTATGTTTAGGGAAATCACATTTACTGACTGGCTAATTCTAATTAAGAGCCAAAGTGAGCCGAAACGGAGAGGAAGCACAGGGTCTTCTTCCCTCCAATCTTCCTCTATACATTTCAAAAAAAAAATCTCTTTGTGTCTTTTAGTCAACCGGTAGATCTGGTCTCTCCACTTGCCGTTCTCCACACTTTTTCTAAGTCTTTCTGCAGACTTTGCTCTAAGTCCTTAACTTAAGACTTTCCTCCTCCACTCTCTTCTTAAGAGTCTTCACTAAATTTTCCTTCCCCCCCCCCACATTATCTGAAGCACGGGACCCTAAGATTAACCACAGGGAAGGGGGCAGACTCAAAGGTACCGCCGCCCAAGGGGTCTTTCGATATCTCTGCCGCACACAACAGTTCTCAGGTTCTTAGACTCCAGGAAAAGAAAAGGAGGTAGAAATTGGTAATAACCGTAGGGGACTGAGCGGTGGCAGCGAACAGACAAAGCTGGCAACAAGGAAAGAAGAGAGCCTGGCTCCCCGCCCCAACTGCACAAGAAGAAAAAGAAAGGACGGGGTGGGGAGCCTGGGATGGGAAAGCGTGTAGAGAACCGACAAGGAGTCTCTGGAAACCGGGAGGAGGGGGAACTGTGAGAAGGTTTTAGAGAGGGGCCGAAAGGACAGGGCTGGAAAGGGCGCCAGCGGGAAAGGGAGAACCCCAAAGAGAGTCAGGGGAAGAGGAGGAGATGAAAGAAAAAGCCTGGGATAGACTGAAGACAACGGCAGCAAGACACTCACCAGAGCCCAGTGGGAGGCAGGGCTGGGGGCGGCGGCCAGCCGCAGACGCCGGCCGGGCCAGCGGTCTCGATGTACGGACAGAAGCCCCAGCGGCAGCAGCCAGCCGACCAGAGGAGAGGAGGGGTCGCGCGAGGGGCTCTGAGGTAGCGGCCGAGTGGCGGTTGCGAGTGAGGACAACAGGAAGTGCCCCAACTGCCGGAAAAGAAGGCGAGCGGAGGGGCCCAGACAGCCGGCTCCCTTGCCGCGGAGAGGGGCTTGGCACAGCAGCCAGCGGCCCAGACTGCGCAAGCGCGACTTCCCGGCGACGCGGCGGGGAGTCCAGATCTGCGCGTGCGCGGGCCCGCCCCTCCCCGCCGCGTCCCAGCTGGTGAGGCTGAGTTGATGGCAGAAGTGTGAGGTGTGGGTCCTTCTCAGGGTGGGCGGGGCGGGGCTGGGGGGAGTCTTTTTTGACTTTTTATTTTAAAAT